CATGTCTTCTGTAGAATTCCTACTGATGAAAAAAGGCAGCATGACTTTAAAAATACAGACTGGTAGCGTTTTATTGGGTGTTTACTTCTATAATTCACTGAACAATCATCACAGTCTTCCAGTTCAAACAGTTTGTGTTCCTCTTTTGTCATAAAGGATGATCATTTTTAATGCATCACCAGTACATTAATGTTTAACATAAATTAGCAGAACTGAAGTTGGTGGTGTGGAAAGTTTGATCTTTTTTTCTTTCAAATCTCAAACCTGAATCACAACAGAGTTCAAACAGAATGATGACTTTAACATTAATTTTCTTTACGCACTTTGATATTTGACTCATTTTTAGTGGCTGAGACCAGAAATGCACATTTAAAGACTTTAAATTTCCAATAAGACTGACTTATGAAACATAAAATGTTCTTGTTACCTGCACCAAGAAGGCAAAGAGTTGCCACAAAGAGATTTATTTGCATCTTCATAGCGTAACGGTGCCACACACGCTGAGCTTGTCCAGGTTTAATCTCCAAAGAGGCGCTTTTGTTCTGCTGGAAATACACAACCGTGAATATAAAAAAAGTCAATTTCTAAAAAAGAAGACATTAACCAATGGTAGTCAACCTAAAATTATTCAGTCGAACAATCCTTTACTACTAATAAACAAGAGAATGCCCTTTTTACCATCTCATTGGAGCTCTATCACGAGTAGGTACATATAATATAAGTAAGCCGTTTCACAAATATCGAGAGAATACTTGAATTAATGTTTTAAATTACCAGCAAATTTTATCATTAATAAACTAATAAGCTGTATTTAACAAAGGTCAGAACTAATACAAGGACAAAAGTGCAAGAGAAAAATGTCCAAAATGTCCAAAATTCAGTGGTAAGAGCAGAGATACTCACCTGAGAGGATGTGGGTAACAGTCGACCCATCCCATTAGAGCGTTATTTTTTTTGCTTATGAGTCCTTGTCGCCTCAAACCCTCCCACATTGCCATGCCATTGAATTGGATTGCATCATCACAGTTGAGATGTAGAAATTGATTTCAAGGCGTTTGTACTGGGTGTTATTTTTAGATATTTATGGCTGACCCCATAATGGCCTTTCATCGTCTTCCTTCTCTGAACAAAAGAAGTTGATTTAATGGTTTTATGATTAATAAACTTTGACTGGACTCGCATTGACTCAAACATACTAGTTTGAAGTGACAAAGAAAAACAAGCCCAGGTTGGATCAAAATGTTCTTAGATAATAATCTATTTCAAATGTAAGAGTGGACAATCCTTAGTTTCATTAACATGTTTTTTTAGTCCTTCAACTTGGACTGACGTAATCGTAACCTATTTTTATTTGTTACTCACTGCCAAGAAGGGCATGTAACATTTGTCTGTTAGCACATCTCATGAGCCAGTGGATGAAATGTATTGAAGCTTTCAGGAAGTAATTATTAGATGTATTACCTCTAAAACCGAGTCAACTCCATTAAAGCTTAGCTAACACAAAAAATATCCAAAACTCAGTCTGCTTTGCAGATATGCTGACAAGATTTGGTGTGGTAGTAGCTGGTGGTCATCCCCAACACATAATCTGAGTGCTTTGAGGATAAATATTGGAATCAGCCATGCCTGTAAAGAAACATTCAAAAAGTTATCACTGGATATATATCCTGATGTATGCTCAGTAATCCAGTTAAATAAATCAAACAAGGTTGAGTCAGGTCCTCTGGACGGGCTCTTCTTTGTTGAAATTGCAATAACAGCATTATGAGAGGGACAACTGGACAGACGCCTCTGTGTCCAACTGTCCCCCTCATGTTATAGCAAGTATCACTTAGCTCTCTGTGAATAACAAGCGCCCATCAGGGCACTAACAGGGCACAGGTCATTAGGCTGATGGTCCTCCTTTTGTGTGCGAACAACTGGGCCTGTCACGATAAATAATAAATCAATTAATCGCATGATGAATGAAAATTATCGACCTCATTTTCATTTACCGGCTTTATCGTTTCTTCGTGTCTCTCTCTTTCTACTGAAGACACTGGATGACAAAAGGCTCAGCTCCGGTGCTCTTCACTGACCTCTCCCTTTCTCTTTAAAATCTGTTTTAACCGTCCAAAGTCACATTTTTGGATCGTTTAAAAGCAGCTAAGTTGAGAAGCTAAGCTACGAGCTAAGCTAACAGGCCGACCTCGGGAATAAACCGCCGTCTTATCGAGCTCCAAAATTCATGGTTGAAACCCGTGCCATCGTGTAAAAAGTTATTTTTCTCTACAAAAAGAAGCTGAGAACTTGTTTACTGATTTTTTTATTAAAAGATTTGTGTGAAAAATGTTGTGCTAAAGAGCTCAAATCACCAAGCGTCCGCCATGTCAGCCCATGCCATGTCAAGGGCCCTCCCTCCCATTTTTCTTAGAGACATGCTGCTTAACTATTCATCCTTTGCAACATTTTTCAGTCAGATCATCTGGACAGTTTCTTTTTTTGTGCTGAAACGTTTCGCCTTCGATCCGGAAGGCTTCATCAGTCAAGGAAACGCACAACAAAACTGATTCTTCCTCCAACAGCTTACTCCAAAGTGTAACAAACCAGTTCTGCTTGTGATAAGATGGTCTCTTGTTAGACCTATGAACAACTAGTTCTGGCTGACACTCGAGACTGAGTTTGACTGCAGCTTCTCAGACGGAAGGTCTTTTGGATAAAATACAAAACAGTTTAAAAAAGAAGAACCCATCCAGAGGACCTGACTCAACCTTGTTAGATCACTAGAAATACTATATTTAGCTGACATTGAGCAGGAAGTTGGAGGTAAAGGGGAAACTATTTTTTGTCAGACAATAAAAGTACAGACAGAAACTTCCTTATTGTTTCTTGTTAATACTGAGTTCCTGTCTGATGTGACCCATGAGTGTTTGGGTAATATAACAGGACTTTAGGGATGTACTACAGCTCAGTGTTGGACACAACCTGTTAGATAATAAATAATCCATATTAAATGTAAGACCCTCTGGTTTCTGATCAGGGCTCAGGGATGTTGCAGCAAAATATGTAAAGCCATAGTCATAATGTTCTGGCTAATCAATGTGAAACTGTACATTCATTCATCCGTCCACCTGCTTTATTGTGTGAAGCTGGTGCTGATCTCCAGTGGTCTGTGGTCTGGAGGTCTATTCTGGACTGGTCACCAGTTCGTATCGGGACCAGTTCTAACAGCTGGTCCATGAGCATCTGGAACCAGTGGATTCCTGGCATCTTGAAACCAGAAACCAGTTCAGTCTCTAATATTTCATAGTTGTTCATGTGAACGATTTGATCCAATCCTTTAATCAGTTTTGCAGAGAAATTGTGACATCTCTGCTGGATGTGCTACAGCTGGCTGCTGCTGCTGGTTCTGCTTAAGAATAACCAGAGAACTGTTCTAGTCGTCGGCTGATCATTCTGATCAAACGTGGTTTGGTTTATGTTGCTCTGTGTTCCACTATGCTCCTTTGTGCCTTCACTTCTTCCAGTACTTTTCCACAGTCAGCCTCTGCTCCTCGGTCTAGCCCCGCCCACTCACACCTGCTCCTGGTGTCATTAGTCGCAGCTGCAGCCACTTTTCCCATCAGTCCACATTATCCTTCTGTTTCTCACAACCAAACCAACAAGGTGAGCATTTCTTTTTGTTCTGTGTAATAAAGTTTTTGGTATTCTTCAAACTCCTTGTTTCACGTCTGCGTTCCTGCAGCTTGACACTATTTCTCAAAAATTAAGTTTGGGGAAAAAAAAAGCTCTTCACAACAATCTGGATCTTTTTTTTTTACAGCACCAAACTTTAAAACTCTGAACACAGTGGAGGCTCCAGAAATGTTTTGATGGTGGGCTGTCATGTGGGGGCTACTTCAAACCCTACAAACCAAAAGCCTGAACAGCTGCTGAAGAAGTTGAAGTCAGGCTGAAAAGGTTCCATCAAGTGAGCAGGATATGCTGAAATTAGTTTTTAAAAAGTAGCTAAAATCAAACAAAAAGCTCAAATGAACAAAACTAGGCTTGAAGGAGCATAAAGTTGACATTATTAGAAAGGAGCAAAGTACAAAATCAAGAATGCATGGCAAACAAAGTTCAAAGTAGCAGAAGAATATCCAGAAAGTAGCTGAAAAGGCTGAACTTGGCAGAAAGAAGCTGAAAAACGAACAAGAAAAGCTGAAAATAATTAGCAGAAAATCTGAAATGAGCAGTGAAAGGTTTTAAACAGCACAAAGCGTTTGGACGTCAAGAGCGCTCCATTGGTTTTCAGTTAGAAAAACATGGCTGAAAAGGCTAAATATTTCAAAAAGTAAAAATTGCACAAATACCAAAACTCACAGCAGGAATGTCCTGAATGAGCTGAATGTTTTGATGCGTGAATGGATGCAGCAGCTTAAAAATTGCAGACTAAGTTACGTGCCGAAAAATGTACGGAAGAGATTTAGATCTCTTATTTATTTTACTTCGTTACCTTTGGCCACCGTAGATTAATCTTTGGTCACCATTTGAGAAATTTGTTTCATTTGAGAAACTTGTAAGCAATATAAAAACTAGAAAGTATAGTTTTCTCAAGTGATGGCCTGGCAGCCATCTTGGATTTTGACACGGCAGCCGTATTTGGAAAAGGAACCGTTCTTATACAGAAGCAGCCACACACTAAAATGGAAGTTGGTACCTCATTTGGTTTTAAAGTTATTCAGATCACAACATTCATGCACAGACGAACGGTGATTATTTCCAATTTCCCTGTTTCGCTCCGTGACAAGGGACAGAAAGAAGACAAACAAATGAAATTGGTCCATTTTCTTTATTTTCTATATGAAATCTAAACCAGTATTTGCTGTGAAAACGTTAAACCTCATCAGTCTAACGCTGTGAGTGGACGGTAAATAAAATCTGTTTTTCCTCATGTTGAAGGAGGAACGTTTGGAGAATTGCACCTTTAAAATCTAATGTTTGTAACTGAAACATTTTCAGGTGCAGCAACATCTCTAAAGGCTGGAAAGAAGCATAAATGTTAATTTGTGCAAACTATCTCTAAATGTTGGTTATTTGGACCAGACACGCAACAGAGAGATTACATCTTCCAAAATCAGAATTTTCTAACTCCACTGAATACCTGCCAGTAAATACAAATATTAAAAAAGTACTAATCAGCTTAAATTTATCGTCTTGGTTCCAGTCAGACCAGTCATCATGATACAGTTGGTTTTTGCCGTCCTCTTGGCCCGGGACGTCATCATCAAGGAATCCAGTTTTATTCAGATCTGGGCCTTTCAGACAAAAACACTGCAGGGTCCATTTGGCCAGTCCAGGATCAGGTCTGAAGCTGAGACGGGAACAGTTTCAGCTTAAACGTATGATTATTTGAGTCCTTGGTTGGTTGATGAGAGCTGGCCTCAGATCTTGTTGGTGTACTTCAGTAGACCGTAGATGCCCCCACCTGAAAGAACAACAGAGTTTAAACAGTTATAATGTATTGTAATGCTAATTTAGGTAACCCTTAGCTCATCTAGCTGGACTTCTGCTCATCTAACTATTCTTTAGCTCATCTAGGAAACCTTTCATCTCATCTAGCTAACCTTTCGTTTATCCAGGGAATATTTAGCTGAGCTAAATGGACTGACACTTACAGGGAACCCTGAGCACATCTTGCTGGACTTCATTTAATCTAGCTAGACTTCAGTTTATTTAGCTCTTCTAGATTGTCTCAGTTCATCTCATTCTTTAGCTCATATATCTACACTTCAGTTAATCTAGCTATATATCCTAGTTTAGCTCATTGATCATATTTTTTTTTGGTTCATTTAGCTAGCCTTCTGCTCATCTAGCTAACTTTAAGTGCATTTAAGTAATCTTTAGCTGATCTAGCAAGACTTTTGATCATCTTGCAAGCCTTCAGTTTATTTAGCTATCCTTTAGCTTAGGGCTAATAGATGGATGGGTGGACTGATGGATGGATGCATGGATGGATGCATGGATGGATGCATGGATGGATGCATGGATGATGGATGCATGGATGATGGATGTTTCAGGTGTTTCTTTAAGTGAGTCTTTTTTAAAGATTAAGAAAGAAAGTTGTTAGTAGGCTTTCTTTCTTCTGACAGTAACGTGTTTTTTTGTGCAACTCTGAACGTGTCTCTTGTTCTTGCCCGGCTTTTATTTGAATAAATATTTTTGGATTTATTCAGAGACCAACCAAAGACCAAACTGCAGTATTTTCCATTCCTTGGCACCAGCTGACATTGGTCAGATGTTCTGTGACGGTTGTGTTGGGTTCCTGGACTCACCCAGCAGACCAACCCCGGCGATGGTGCCGATCGTGATGCCTGCTATGGCTCCTCCTGACAGACCTCCTGTTGAAGGTTCTGGAGGGGGATGACTTGGTTCTGTAGTGTTTCCACCAGTAGATTCTGTAACGTTTCCACTAGTAGCTCCTGTAGCATTTCCACCAGTAGGTCCTGTAATGGTTCCACTAGTAATACCAGCACCAGGTGTCCCAGTTGTTCCTGTGCTCTTTGTTGTACCAGTGACAGTTGTAGTTGACGTGGGGGTGACATTAGTCGAGTTGTCCTCTGCTCCACACAGAGTTACTGAATCAACACAAAGAAAATATTTAAATCAGAAGAATAAGAACGTTCCGTAAGAACATTCAACGAGAACATGATGAACTTCTGAAGGGTCAGTGCACCTACAAGGTCTGAGCTAAGACAAACAGGCCTACGATTTGATACACGACAAGAGTGAATGAAACCCAATTTAAAAGAAATGTCGGTGGCTCATTACGGTCACCGTGGTAACTACACACCCAGGCCTCTCATTTCACTACAGCACAAAGAAAGACAGGCAGAAGCAGACTGAAAAAACAGCCTCGAGCAAACATTTGTTGAAAACAACTCGAGAAACCGCATTTCCTGTGAAAATGCGGCGTGAACGCTTTTTGGTGAATGATTTTTACTGAAAGCTGCTGAAGAAGCTGAAACTAGCTGAAACGGCTGACATTTGCTGAAAGCAGCCAAAAATGCTGAAAAAGAGGTAAAAAATAGCTGAAATTAGCAGAGAAGTAGCTGTAACCCCCCCCCCCCCCCAAAAAAAAAGCTAAAATTAGCAGAAACAAGCTGAAAGAGCAGCAAAAGCTGAAAAGAGTACAAAAAGCTTAAATTTGCTTAAAAGTAGCAGTATAAGCAAATATAGCCGTAATGAACAAAAAGGGCTGAAAGGAGCATCAAGTTGAAATTATTAGAAAGAAGCACAAAAGGTGGAAATCGGCAATAAAAATAGCAGAAAAGGCTAAAATCACCTAAAAAATAAATAAATAAAAAAAGGCTTAAGAAGCACAAAAAGCTTAAATTAGCTGAACGGAACTGAAAAAGGCTAAACCAGACTAAAATCTGAAATGATCACCACAGCCCTCTGTGTGGAGCAGAAAGCTGCTGGTGCACGGGGGAGCAGCTGGTGGGGGTTAAGGGCCTTGCTCAAGGGCCTAGAGTGGGGCAAATGAGGGTGGGGCAGGTGTGGGTGCTTCACTTATCCCACCCACATTTTTGATGATGTCGGTACCGGCAGTTGGACCGGGATCTTCCGATCACAGGCCCCTTCTCTAATCTCTGCGCCACCACTCCCACCTCCCGCTTTTCAATCTCTCCTACAAACACCTGTTTTCACTGACGTTTAACGCGGTGGGATTTAGTTTAGTATTTCATTGTTTCTCTTTGTTTTTGTGTTTATTATGTTTCTATTTTTAACGCTTTTAATGGCTTCTTGTACTTATTTTTCCTTAATTACTGCCTTGATCTTATTGTGAAGCACTTGTGTAACAGCTGCTGTTTTAAATGTGCTTTAAATAAATTTGACTTGACTTGACTTTGATTTAGGTTCCTTTAAAGTAAAAACAGAACAATTTCTGTGAACTGCCCTTTTTTTCAAACAGTTTCAACACCTCACTTTATGACCTCAATCAATCTTTGGTCACAACCATTAAAATACCCCCCATCGTACATCCACACCACTATTCCACCCAAAACTAAGGTTTTCACTTTATTTTTTCAACATTACTATAAATACGGTGGTGTGGATCTGAATTATGTCAAATAATCCAGATTATATTTGTTCCTCTCGTCTCAAACAAAACAAAAAGGTTACATAGAAGTTGAGGTTTTATTTAAGGGTTTCTAATTATTTGAAGTGAGCCTAAATTAATATATTTTTAGTTGTCATGACATTAAGGGAAATTTACAGCCGTGTCTTCAAATATTTATTTTTCCGTCGCCGTCTCGCAGTTTATTGCACAGAATGTACTTTCACTCTAAATCGGGGCGTCGTCGGTCAAACAATTAATAAACCAATGTAACTGTTTCAAAATGTATTTTTAGATGGAACACAGCTGTCAAACTTTGATTTTAGTTTAGAGTTTAACACCAGGAACAAAATGAAGAGTAAAAATAAAAGTTTTTACCTGAACAAAGAAGGCAAAGAGTCGCTACGAGAAGATTCATCTTGACAGATTTGGAGTATTAATCTGTGCTGCTGGAAACACACATAGCAAATATTTAAAAAAAAAATCACACATAAAGAATCATACATTTTTCTGATATTACACTAACATTTATACAAGGAAGTATGTATTTTCTTATTTATGAGTTGCAAATTAAACTTTAAACATGCGAATTATTGCCCAAACATTGTTTCTGAATCTAAAAAAACTAATTGTGAGTAAATGGTGCCTACGTTTTTGACTTTACCATCTATTTAATGAAATTTACACCACCATTCCAGAATAAATGACTCCGTAGCACCAGCATTTACGATTTCTAAAAACATGTCATATCAGTGGTACTTTTAAAGAAAATTGGATAAAATTCAGCTCTCATCAGCTGACATTAAACACCATGATAATGATATTAATAAGAATAACACAATATTTGTTATTTGGATTGTATTAATAAACACAGAAGCAAACATTTGACTGAAACGGAGCTGTGGCAACGAGGATTATCAGGAAACGGTGCTGAAAAATAAAAATATTAGTCATGGCTGTCGGGAGGAGAGCCCGGCTACTCACCTGCGAGGCTGTGGATAATGACTTTCTCTGTTCCTGTAGAGCGGACTATATTAACCTTTTATGACCCTGTTATCACACAACCCTGTCGTTTCCATCCCTCCCAGCTGGCTTGAACCATTCTGTCATATATCACATGTTCACTATTTGGTTAATACGACCAACTCTTTACTGCTCATTTATTGATCATACGCAAGAACAGGGAAAGATGAATCCATAAATGTTAATTCTTCACAGCTGATTTTTTTTATTTTTTTACTCTAACCAAGAAGCGTCGGGTCAGATTTATTTAGCAATATTCAAACTTTAAAGCAAAGGAAGCGCCACTGATTTCAGTTTATAGATCTGTACAGATTCATACTCACCAAAGAAGGAATATTTAGCAGCTTTTGAACCTTAAGTCGGGATCGTTTGTCAACAACTGCGGCTGGAAACGGTTTAAACTGAGGCAGCAGGAGCTGATAAAACGCAGTTACCACCTTCTGTTTGTTCAGCTCTGTCCAGCAGGCTGTAGCTGAGAACACACGAGCACCCGCAGCACGCCTTGTACATGATGCCGACACAACGTGCCAACTCTTCTCTCAGAAACAGTCCTCTGCAGCTGATAAGCTTCAATTTTCATCAGAATCACACACTTTAACTCCAACCTAAATTCAGTTTTAATACAACAGAATCAGCCCAGATGGTTCGTACGTTGCCGTTTCAGTGCACGTTGTTTGCTCAAGCAAAGTCAACACGTTCGATTCCATCTTGTGCCAATTCTGGATCCGGCGACCTCACATGTCAATCACACAATCAGCATTCATTATAGCCCAACGTTGCCAAATCCTGGTCCTCGACGGCTACTATCATGCATGCTTCTCTGCTGTCACCCCTGATGTTCACTGAAAGAGGTTTTACCACACGTCTGCACAGCCTGAAGACAGGCTGAACTAAAACAGGCAGGATAGAGACCCTCGGGAATCATGGACATGTCGTGAATTTAGTTCCAAAGGCGACTGAAAAAACCGTCACATCAACATTTGGATTTGGACCTTGGAACGAGTGGTAATGAGCTAAATAAGGAGGGACGAGAGCTTTATAAACAAACAACAAGTTTAGATTGAATTGAGCATTTTGGACAAGTTGAAGACTACTGAAGGACTCAGAGGTTCCAACACAATTCAGTTCAGTTTATTTATAGAACACCAAGTCACAACAGAAGTCATCTCAGGGCACTGAGCAGAAACATTCATATTTATAAAATTAAGTTATTATTTATCTGAGGAGCAGACTGCTTTGAGTTTAACTCCATCACAGAACTCTCATCTTGAGCAAGCATGAAGGCGACAGTGGAAAGGAAAAACTCCCGCATGAGGAGGAAACCTTTAGCAGAACCAGGCTCAGGACAAGCGGCCGTCTGCTTTGACCGGCTGGGTTTGAGAAGAACAGATACACAATGGCACGTCGAGAATCACACGTTAAGATAGAAATAATACTAAATGCAAACTATTCATTTGTAACAATTCATTTAAGGAAATGAGGTCAGTTTGTCCTCCAGTAGTCTAAGCCTATAGCAGCGTAACGAGCCAACCCTAACTATAGGATTTATCAAAAAGGAAAGTCTTAAAACTGGACCATGTGTCAGCCTCACGGACAGAAACTGGAAGTTGGTTCCACAACAGAGGAGCCTGATAACTGCAAGATCTTCCTCCCATTCTGCTTTTGGAAACTCTAGGAACCACAAGTAAGCCTGCAGTCTGAGAGCCAAGTTCTCTGTTAGGAAAATATGGACCAATAAGATCTCGAATATAAGATGGAGCTAGGTTGTTGAGAGCTTTGTAGGTTAGAAGTAAGATTTTGAGTAAAGAGCATAAGGACATAGAGTGTTGCAGGATTCAAGCTTTTTACCAATAAAAAGAGATTTGCCTTTTTCAGGTCATGGCGGTTTTAAAAAGGCTCGACCTCACTGGCCTGATGGTTCCCAGTCCAGGTGTTCGAGGGCCACTGTCCTGCATGTTCCTCTGCTTTGACACACCGGAGTCGTTCAACCTACAGAGGCTGTTTGTTTCTCAAACCTCAGATCCTCTCAGGGTGAAACACAACAAATAAAACCTTTTCTTTTCTGAGAACTGCTGAAATTGACAGTCACCTGAATTTGAGTTTACACTTTAATTTGTCTCAATCCAAATATAAATCCAATATACATGCTTTTATAACGCTTTCATATTTTCACTGTAACATAAACGTATACGCCCATGAATGTGGGGCATATATGGAAGTTTTTTCAAATGTCGGAGGCTTTCATACCCACGCATTCCTTCAAAAGAATGTATATCGCCTGTTAGTTTTAAACCAAGATCATCTTCTCATCAGAAGGGATCGAAGTACATGATCTTTTCTGTTTTGAATTACTCTCAACTACTACCACACCACATCTGTAGTTGTAAAACCGATTATAGTACAGCTATGTTTGTGTAAACTATGGTTGACTAGCTGTGGCGGCCATCTTAAATCAAGTTGACTCCAAAACCGAATGAGCTGTACAAAAACATCAACTAAATACTTCCTGAAAATTGATTTAATCTATCCAGTGGTTTATGTGATATTTTACTAACAGACAAACACACAGAGACACAGATTAAAACAAGGCAGTGTTGCCCATTTGCCATTGCCTAATGATCTATATAGACCATAAACTTTTGTTTAAACATTTACTATACAGATATTCATTATTATATTAACAGTAATTACATTCTGTCTTAAAATAACCTGCCTCAAAATCTGGTAATAGGGTTCATGCTTATGGCTCTCCTTTGACCCCATTAGTCCATTAGATATCGTCCCGTTTGCGGCGCTGGGGAAGGAGCAGGACTTTGACTGGGAGGAGGACAGATTAGAACGCGGTGCGTCATTGATATAAATGTAACGGGAACTTTTTTTTTTTTTTTTTCAGTTTTATGAGAGAGGACTTTATTGTAACCACATTTCCAATGTTCGTGTTACTGAGAAACATTCTCAATGTAACTTTTATTCCGATTTTACTAAACTTTTTTTTTTTTTAGTTGCACACATTTTATCTCAGGATTTCAAGGCTGATGTGATCCATGTTATTGTCTGTGCTTGTGGACTTGTGTTTGTCTGTTAGCAAAATATCTACTGAATCAGTGGGCAGATTCTGATGAAACACTACTTGATCTCCAACTGGAGCTGAATCATTATAAATATGTATCTCTAAGTCAGACGGTTTTACAGATAAGAAGCTAAAATGTGGTTTGATTGTAGCCGAGCGTCGTCTTCGTCACATATTTTGCATGCTAACAGATTGAGCAACGTCTTTGCTTAAAACTCTGGCATGCTAGGTGGCAGGCGATACGCATTCCTTCACGAAATGTCACTTTCATTTAATCTGTGGAGTTTAGTTTCTGTGTGGTTTAGAATGACAAAGTAAATATTGATGCCTGAGTTGTTCTTCAAACTTGGCTTAGTTTGAGAGAACTTGAACTTTTCGGGTTTATGTGCGGCAGAAAATACTTTTACTGTAATCCACTTTAAGAGTTCCTGACATTAAGCCACAATCCTCACCTTTAACTGACTGTTTGACCACAAATGTAAAAAAACAAATCCAAGATTTCATGCGTCAGGTGATTTCACTAAGCACATTTGTTGTTTTAAAATAGTCCAAAATGAGGATTTGTAGTCGTATGAACTGGACACAGGAATGCAGACAATAACTCAAGTTAAAAAAAAAACTTAACAGGACCTCAGACTAGTTGGAAGTAGGCCTTATTTGATAAATAATCACTTCAGCAATAAAAAAAGAGATCATAAAAAAAAATTGTAAAAACTCAAAAAACTCACATTATTTTTAAGTGAATGACACACAAACGTCGCCATTTTATTTATTTTGCAATGCATTCTGGGTAAATGACAGGTTGTGCCGGTGCGAGATCAGTTCAGCTTTACTGTAATGTTAAATTTGTACATTATCTGAAGTTCAGCCCTTTAATTTTAAACAAAACACGTTAATAGAGAGCAGAATGCAGAAATGACTCGTCTTTTGCATTCGCTCCACAGCTTATCTACCCGTATATATGTATGTATATTATATATTTAAATAAATAAATATATGGTACTAAACCGAAATCTTTGAGTAATTTCCTGTAGCTCCAAAGGCTTTGACAGTTTGAATCACGGCTTTTAATCAACAATTATTGTCTGAAGGAGCAATTCCAGGTAATGAGTTAGTTTTTAGTAAATGTAAATTATCTATGTGGAAAAACTGACGTCATGCGGGATGTTTATTGGTTTATGTTTAGTTATAAATAAGCATTATGTTGTATTACACCTGACTCATTGTGGCATCATCTCTTAAGTGATCAGTTTTTTTATTTTAATCCAAGATTTTGTACAATCTTACTTGAGGACTTCCTGTATTACATCTGGTAGTTTATGAGGATTTTAATGTCCTCATAAAGACATAAAACTCGGATACATAAAAGCACTCAAACCCACTCAAGGAATTTCACATAGCTTTAAAAAGTCTATAAAATCGACGACTGAGCTTCAGTAAAACAAAACCACAATGAAAAATCAAAACTTAACTTTTGTTCACTTTAAGAAAGAAACAAGGACTTGTGTGTGTGTGTGTGTGTGTGTGTGTGTGTGTGTGTGTGTGTGTGTATTTTTTTTGTGCGTGCCATAGTAATACATGAGAAGTGACGCATTTCATTGATTATTCACCTCCAAACACCTCATTCATGTAAATACTGAGGCAGCTTTCACACTGTTCCTGATTTTTTTAAATTCCCCTCTTTACATTTTTTTCATATAAAATTTGTGCTAAATTTGTAGATCAAACATTTGAGTTAATTCTGGAGATAAGGCATATGACTTTTTGTTTTTGTAATTTCTACACCCCCCCCCCCCCCCCGCAAAAAAAAAAACGTATATTAGAAATATTTTCCTCATAAAAATTACTAACAGATGAGGCCTGAATCCCCATGGACTATGATGTTTGCAGATGACATTGTGATCTGTGGTGAGAACAGGGAGCAGGTGGAAGAGAACTTTGAG